GCAGATGGTGTAATGGTTACGTTGCTGGACTCCCTCATGGTTGAATGCAGTTCGAGTCTCGTATCCAGTGGCTGAAAATCACGGCAGGCACGTGTGCGTGTGTGCCCCAAATCCCTAGAAGAGAGTGGAGAAGGGATTACGGCATGGCCATCCCTCTGGGAGGTGATTTCTCACGTTCTCTCTCTCTCTCTCTCCAGCGAGCACACGCACCTTATAGCAAAAATCTCTCTTAAAAATAATAAAGGGGGGGATGGCAGGTGGCATGGTGGTTAAGGTACTGGATTCCCACATGGCTGACCACAGTTTGAGTCTTGGACCTGGTGGCTTGCTCTCATTCTTTCTCCCTCTCTCTCCTTCTCTCATCAAATTAAAAAATAATAAATAAAATTAAATAAATGAATCTGTTTTAAAAATAATAAAGGGGCTGGCAGATGGTGTGGTGAAAGGCGTTGTACTCCCACATGGCCGACTGCAGTTCAGGTCCTGGACCTGGCAGCTTGCTTTCTCACTTTCCCTCTCTCTTTCTAGTCTCACTTGCTTATGCACTCACTCTGTCATTCTTTGGTCGAAATAAATAAATAAATAAAGTTAAATAAAATAATTCTTTATAAGACAGTAATAATAAATTAAACACTAAAAAATTTTAAAGAATAAATAATTTTATTTAAAAAAAAAAGGAAAGTGCATCCTATCTGTAACCATTCCATTGTGAATAGCACAAAAAGTTGAGGAAGGAGATCTTCCAGTATTCAAAACCTCACCCAGGCCCACACTTGGTGGCTCAGGTAGTTACGTACCAACTGCGGCGCTGGGAGCCATGCGGACGACCATGGGTTTGGGTCTTCAGTCACCTGAAACACGTCAGGTGCCCACACACCCCAGAGCCCAAGGAGCTAGAGGGCTGGGGAGAGGGGGTTGTAGTGTGGTGAGGCCCTGTTGAGGGTGCCTGTTTCTGTCTCTGTCTCTTATGTACTCTCTCATGAAATAAAATTTTAAAAACGCTAGTCCAGTTTTGTAATACTCACATGGACAAATGAGCACAAATCCAATGCATTATGTCAGAAATGACATGATGCATTTTTGCATAGGAAAACAGTAAAATATGCCACGACTTTCTTTTTCTTTTTTTTTTTTTTAAGAGGTTTTTGCTATAGGGTGCATGTGCTCGCCAGACAGAGAGAGAGAGACATAGAGACAGAAAACGAGAAATCACCCTCCAGTGGGGATGGCCATGCCACAATCCCTTCTCCTCCATTCTCCTCTCGGGATCTTGGGCACGTACCCACATGCGCCCGGCGTGAGTTTTAAGCCACCGGGTCCGGGACACGAACCGCAGTCGACTACATGGGAGTCCAGCGACGTAGCCATTATGCTAACTGCTGGTCCCGCCACGACTTTCTTGATGACCCAGCCTATCTCCATTGACTCACTTTCGTCTTATGTGCTAATATATATGTGTACATATATATATTTTTATTTTATTTTATTTATTTTTTTAGTTACCAGAGGGAGTGTGCATGCATGCAAGAGCAAAAGCACACTCCCATGGGTTCTGGTCATGCTGCAATCCTTTCCCCACCATTTCTTCATCCCATCAGGATCTGGGGCACATGCACAAGTGCCCAGTTTTTGTTTTTTTTTTCAAGCCACTGGGACCAGTATTCAAACCACAGTCAGCCACGTGGGATCCGGCTTTCTTTCTCTTACCTGCTGTGTTGCAGGGCTGGCCCATTAGTATAAATGCCAACCACCATTTATCGGAACTCTACCTGGAAGGCCTGTTGTGAATTTGGATCAGGATGCCACAGGCTGTGTGGCTTCTGCAGGCCCACAGTTCTGAGTAAAAATCCTTGCGTTGCCACTTATGTGCAGGGTTACTTTGAAAACTTCATTAATTTCGGAACGCATCTTCCTGTACTGCAAGGTGGGGTCTGTACTGTTGGCCTCGCAGAGTTAATAATGGCGAGTTAACCTGTCCTACCGCATGCTTTGCGACGCTAAGCATTTTCATATGCTGTACGTTTGAATTTTCTCAACATTTTAGGACAAGGTCCTCATTATGAGGAGGAGAGATGGATCCTAGGCTCTGACACTACCTGCTCGGTCTGATTTCTGGGCCAGTGCTACAATATGCAGACCCCAAACGCACGTCTGCAGGAATCTCCTTCCTTCGCGGTCCAGCGTTCAGGTTCGTTTCTCCTGAGTCATTACTGAGATGGCCCAATTCAAGCCCAAGTCCTTCCTGGGATTCCACTCCCCTCTGTGGTCCTGCTCTGGCACCAACATCCCTCTGCCTTTGGGCCACACACATTGCTGTGGAGATAGCTACCATTTGGATGCACTTGGCCTCTTGGCTCTGGAATTCTCTGCTACTTCTGCTTCCTGCTTGGAGCTCCAGCAAGCTCCGCCCTGTCGTTTGCAAGTTCCTGTAGCTCTTTGCTCCCTCACCTGGGGAGTAAGGCTGGAGGAACCTGAGGGACTTCTGGGATGCACCATCCCGCCGGCCCCTCAGCATTTTGTGTCCCTCTCTGTAACTGTCCACAGCACATGCCTGACTCTGAGGCCCACTGGCTTCTCCGCCTTTGCCACTGCCGGCCAAGAGCCTTTTTCCACTCTGTGGGTGGGAGCACCACCCTTCCCCACCGCTGCTTACGGCAGTCTGATTTAGCATGGCTCCTTCAGCGGATGGAGTGAAGCGCCTCCCTCTCCGGCCTGCCTCTCTCGTGCAGATGCCAACATCGTTACGGTTACTTTGTCCTTCCAGGGGGCACTTGAGCACATCTGGAAACTAGTTCTATAAACTCTTCCCAGGTACACACTGTCTTATCATTGTCTTAGGACAATTCCAAACTTAAGCCAAAGTCGAAGAAGACAATACGAAGACCCCCTCTGCCCCATGGTCCAGCTTTAGCCTCATCAACACATGACCATCTGCGTCACCTCAGGCTCCATCCACGTCCTGTACCACTATGTTGATTTGGAGCAAACCCTCTGATTTTTTTTTTATTTTAGTTTTTGTTTGTTTGTTTGTTTTTAATCTGCCAGAGGGCACATGAGCATGCCAGAGAGAGACCGAGAGAGAGGGAAAGTGGGGAAGCACCCCCCAATGGGGATGCCATGCCACAATCCCTTCTCCATTCTCTTCTTGGGATTTTGGGCATGTACATACAGGCACCTGGCATGTTTTCCAAGCCGCCTGGTCTAGGACTCGACCACACAGTTAGCCATGTGGGATCCAGTGACTTAACCACTACACCAGTGACTGGTCCAGTAGTTATTATTTTTTTTTAATTTCTTTATTAACTTTACTATTTCTTTCTTTCTTTCTTTTTTTTTTTTTTTTTTTTTGAGAGGTTTTCACTATGGGGCGCGTGCGCTCGCCAGACAGAGAGAGACAGAGAGACAGAAAGCGAGAAATCACCCCCCAGGGGGGATGGCCACGCCGCAATCCCTTCTCCTCCATTCTCCTCTTGGGATCTTGGGCACGCACACACACGTGCCTGGCGTGAGTTCTAAGCCACCGGGTCCGGGATGCGAACCACGGTTGACTACGTGGGAGTCCAGTGACATAGCCATTACGCTAACTGCTGGTTCCCTCTATTTATTTCTTGTGATTTTATTTATTTATTTTTCCTTTTTTTGGAGAGGTTTTTGCTATAGGGCACGTATGCTCACCAGACAGACAGAGAGAGACAGAGAGACAGAAAGCAGGAAATCACCCCCCCCCAGGGGGGATGGCCATGCCGCAATCCCTTCTCCTCCATTCTCCTCTCAGGATCTTGGGCACACACGCACACGCACTCAGCATGAGTTTAAGCCACTGGGTCTGGGACTCGAACCACGGTCGACTACGTGGGAGTCCAGTGACATAGCCATTACGCTAACTGCTGGTCTCTATTTCTTGTGATTTTCAAGCCACCAGGTCTGAGATTTGAACTGTGATAGGCCATATGGGAATCCGGCACTTTAATCATCATGCCACCTGCTGGCCCCAGGTAATTATGACTTTTTTTTTTCCGAGAGATTTTTCTTTTCTTTTTCTTTTTTTCTCTTTTCTTTTCTTTTTTTCTTTCTTTTTTTTTTTTTTGAGAGGTTTTTGCTATAGGGTGCATGTGCTCGCCAGCCAGACAGAGACAGAGAGATAGAAAGCAGGAAATCACCCCCCCAGGGAGGATGGCCATGCTGCAATCCCTTCTCCTCCATTCTCCTCTCGGGATCTTGGGCACGCATGCACACGCACCTGGCGTGAGTTTAAGCCACCAGGTCCAGGACTCGAACCGCGGTCGACTACGTAGGAGTCCAGTGACATAGCCATTACGCTAACTGCTGGTCCCTTGAGAGAGATTTTTATTATATGGTGCGTGTGCTTACTGGAGAGACAGAGGGAGAGACAGAGAGAGACAGAAAGCAAGAAATCACCCCCAGGAGAGGTGGCCATGCCACAATCTCCTCTCCTCCATTCTCCTCTCGGGATCTTGGGCACGCATGCACACGCACCTGGCGTGAGTTTAAGCCACCAGGTCTGGGACTCAAACCACGGTCAGCTACCTGGGAGGCCAGCAACATAACCATTATGCCATCTACTGGCCCCCAGGTGATTATGTTTTAATGCACATTGCTGAGAAATTTCTTCGTTTCGTATAATTCAGGACATGCCAAGAACCCTGGCTCTATGTGGGGACTTGAAAAAGAAAACAGCAGTTTCGTTCTGTCGGTCTCCCGCTTCCCAGAACTACCTTTCTTTCCAGAACCTTTGAGATTGTAGTGAGGGTGCAAACAGAGCTAGAGACTCGGCTCTGCATCTCCCCCACACTCTGCCTCCTCCTTCCTCATCTTGCCGGCTTCTGACAGGTTTCACCGAGAACGTAAAGTTCAAAAAGCTAAGTTCATGGTACTCAGTGCGAGGGGCCTTGCGTCATCTCTGTGTAACCCAGTACGAACGGGTACTTTTCAAATGCCAGAACTCCAGGCCAGCTAACGCTCTTTCCCATGTTTGACAGAGAAGCGAGTGCCGAGAACATTGCTTTGCTGCAAAGAAGAGAGTAACTGAACACCATGGTGAGTGTGTTTCATTTCTGTGTTGGGGTAGCAGGGAGGGGAGGGGACCATGGCAGACTGGGGTCTCATGCCTTTTCTTTTTTAAAAAATTATTTTTATTTAATTTTATTTATTATTATTACTATTATTCAATTTGACCAGAAAGAGACAAAGAGAGAGAGGGAGAAAGTGAGAAAGCAAGTTGCTAGGTCCAGGGTTCGAACCACAGCCGGCCATGTGGGAATCCAGCACCTTAACCACCACACCACCTGCTGGCCCCAACTTTTCTTTTTTTTAAAAGAGAGATTTTTGCTTATAAGGTGCATGCGCTCCCTGGAGAGACAGAGACAGAGAGAAATATCCCTCTAGTGGGGGTGGCCATGCAACAGTTGCTTCTCTTCCATTCTCCTTTTGAGATCTTGGGCATACACACACGCGCGCCCGGCCTGAGTCTTAAGCCATCAGGTCCAGGACTTGAACCGTGGTCTAATACGTGAGAGTCCAGCGATATTACCATTACACCATCTGCTGGTCCCATGGCGACTCTGTAAATAGAGATGGGCTCCCCTCAGTTTGCCTCACCAACTGAGGACAAGTGTCAAGCAAAATAAGCCCAAGGATACATCTCAGGGAGCATTTGCTTTGAGTGGCCGCAGGCAGAGGGCCAGCTCCGACTGAATTCTGGATGCTCGTTGCCAGAAATGTGGACGCAGTGCTACCAAGTCTTAGGAGTTGTCAAGAGAGACTGGAATCTGCAGTCTACAGTTAAAGTACTTTCACCTGTACATTTGAGGTTATTTGTATCTGCTGCATCTGCGTGGTGGGACCCACTGGCTTAAAAAGCCGGCCGGGCACACATGCCCAGAACTCCAAAAGAATAAATGGAGGAGAAGGGATCGTGGTATGACCATGCTCCATTGGGGGGAGGGGGCGGTGCTATCTCACTTTCCCTTTCTCTCTCTCTGTCTCTCTCCAACGAGCTCATGTACCCTCAAACTAAGTGATAGGGAGTATATGTGTGCACCAGAGTAAGGGAGGGAGGAAAGAGAGGGAGAGAGAAAGACAAGCACAGGACCAGCAGATGGCGTAATAGTTACATCACTGGACTCCCATGGAGTTGACCATGGTTCAAGTCCTGGACCCAGCGGCTTAAAACTCATGCCAGGTGCATGTATGTGCGTGCCCAAGATCCCAAGAGGAGATTGGAGGAGAAGGGATTGCAGTGTGTCCATCCTTCCTGGGGGTATTTTCTCCCTTTCTGTCTCTCTGTCTCTTTCTGTCTCTCCTATAGCAAAAATCTCTCTTAAAAAAAGAAAGGAAGAGACAGAGAGACAAGTACCTTTGCTTAGGTCTTATCAAGATGTGACCTCTTCCCCTAGCTCTCCAGCTCGTCAGGATCGTGGGCATATGAGAACATCCCTGTGTGTTTTCAGACCAACCAGGCTGAGGACACGGGGCTGTCGTTGGTGTCCAGCACTTCAGCACACTACTGACCGTGCAACCCGACCGGGGCTGGCTTTCATGTTTTTGTCTCTATGGATTTGCCTAAATGGTTTCAAGTAAGTGGAATCATACAATAGATGGCCTTTTGAGCCTTACTGTTTTTACTTAACATACTTTTTCCCCCGTTTGCTATAGGGCACGTGCGTGCGCCAGAAAGACAGAGAGAGACAGACAGAAAGCGAGAAATCACCCCCCAGGGGGGATGGCCACACCGCAATCCCTTCTCCTCCATTCTCCTCTCGGGATCTTGGGCATGCACACACATGCGTCCAGCGTGAGTTTAATCTGCCGGGTCCGGGACTCGAACCACGGTTGACTACATGGGAGTCCAGCAACATAGCCATTACACTAGCTGCTGATCCCCTTAACATACTTTAAAGGTTCATCCATGTTGGAGTACAGATCAATGCCTCGTTCCTTTATATGGCTAAGTAATGTTCCATTGTACATAGATTTGTTTACTGTCGTCCACTGATGATGGGCATTTAAGTTGTTTCCATCTTTAAAAACATTAGTTAGCTGGAGCCAGTGGGTGGTATAGTGGTTAAGGCACTGGACTCCACATATGTGATCATGGCTAGAGTCCTGGGCTGGGGAGCTTAAAAATCATGATGGGCACATGTGTGTGCATGCCCCAAATCCCAGAAGGATGATTGAGGAGAAGAGCTGGAGCTGGGCCATCTCCCCTGGGGAGTGATTTCTCATTGTCCCTCTTTCTGTCTCTCTCTGACTCTCCCTAGCGAGCAAGCACACCCTATGGCAAAAATGTTAAAAAATGTTTAATTAATTTAGTTATATACATTTTGTTGTAGAATGTGTGTGCTTACAAGAGACAGAGAGAGAGAGAGAGAGAGAGAAACTCCCTCCCGGGGGGTGGTTGGCCATGTTGTAATCCCTTCTCTTCTAGCCTCCTCTCAGGATTTTGGGCATGTATGCAACCTGTCTGGCATGTTTTTCAGGTCAACAGATCAAGGATTCAAACAGCGCAGTTGTCCATATGGGCTCCAGCTGCCTTCATCACCACGCCACCAGCTGGTGTGGCTGTTTCCGTCTTTTGCTACCATAAATATCGCTGCTACTATGAATGCTCATGGACAAATATTCATTGGAAACTCTGTTTTCCCTCGTGGTGGAATTACTGGGTCTTGCGGTCGGTCCGCGTTGACCTTGAGAAACTGCCAACGACGTCCCACAGCAGCTCACCGCGTACACTCCCACAAACAAGGCACGAGGGCTCTACCTTCTCCATGCTCTCGCCCACACTTGCTATTTTCCATTTTTAAAATGATTAACATTCTAGTGGGTGTAAAGTGGCATCTCCTGTGATGTCGATTTGCATTTTCCTAACAGTTAATGAGGTGGAGCATATTTTCATGTGCTTTGTTGACCATTTGTTCCTCTTCTTGGGAGAAATGTCAATTCAAGGCTTTTACCCATTTTTATTGAATTGTTTGTCTTGTCATTCTGTTGTAAGAAGTTCTGGATACTAGTATGATTTGCAAATATTTTCACCCGTTCTTTTAGTTGTCTTTTTACTTTCTTTTTTCTTTTTCTTTTTTGGAGAGGTTTTTGCTATAGGGCGTGTGCACTTGCCAGAAAGAGAGAGAGAGAGAGAGACAGAGAGACAGAAAGTGAGAAATCACCCCCAGGGGGCATGGCCATGCCATAATCCCTTCTCCTCCGTTCTCCTCTCAGGATCTTGGGCATGCACACACCTGCACCCAACTTGAGTTTAAGCCACCGGGTCTAGGACTCAAGCCATGGTCGACTATGTGGGAGTCCAGTGACATAGCTATTACGCCAACTGCTGGTCCCACCTTTTACTTTCTTAATAATGCTCTCTGATGCTAAAGTTTCAAATTTTGATGAAATCTAATTTATCTATTTTTTATTTTATAGTTGGTGCGTTCGGTGTCATATCACCTGATTCAAGGTCATGAAGGTTAATGCCTGTTTTCCTCTGAGAGTGTTGTTTTTACTTCTTACAGCCAGCTCATTAATTCCTTTTGAATTACTGTTGTATGTGGTGTAAAGTAAGGATCCAGCTTCATCCTTTTACATATGGCTCTCCAGTTGTCCCAGAACTTGCTGCTTATTTAACTGGTGGCTCCTCTCTCTCTCTCTCTCTCTCTCTCTCGGTGGGTGTTTGTTACAGAGTCTGTGAACTTGTTAAGTAAAAATACCTTTCTAGAGTTGAGATTGAGGGACCAGCAGATGATGTAATGGTTACATCACTGGCCTCTCACACAGTCGACAGTGGTTTGAGTTCTGGACTGGTGACTTAAAACTCATCAGGGTGGGACCAGTAGTTGGCGTAATGGCTATGTCGCTGGACTCCCATATAGTCAACCATGGTTTGAGTCCCGGACCCAGTGGCTTAAACTCATGCTGGGTGTGTGTGTGCGTGTGTGCCCAAGATCCTGAGAAGAGAATAGAGGAGAAGGGATTGCAGCATGGCCATCCTTCCTAGGGGGTGACTTCTCTCTCTCTCTGTTTTTCTGGTGAGTGCACGAGCCCTATAGCAAAAACCTCTCCAAAAAAAAAAAAGGAAATAAAACAAAATAAAAATCTCATGCAGGGTGCGTGTGCACGCATGCCTAAAACCCCGAGAGAATGGAGGAGAAGGGATTGCAGCGTGGCCATCCCCCCGGGGGGGGGGATTTCTTGCTTTCTGTCTCTCAGTCTCTTGTTTGTCTCTTTGACAAGTGCACCCGTCCTATAGCAAAAGTCTCTATAAGAAAAAGAATCGAGATTGATTTTTTCTTTTCTGCGTTCCTCTGTCCCCTCTTAGAATGCTTTCCCTCTCCTTACTACCTATTACGTCTGAAGCTCAGAAACCAACACATGGGCTCCCCTGACTAGCCACAGGGGCCAGAATTCTCAGGTCTCAGGGATTGTTTTATCAACTTTGAGAAGTAGAGACATGTGTCATCAGCAAAATTGGACCTGGACCCCAGGACCTCAGTTGACTCTGGCTTCCCTTCTTGTGGGAACCATGTTTTGGCCTCCCAAAGCTTTCTGGCTTGAGGCTAAACAGGCGCCCTCTGGTGGCAAAAAGGAGGCGCTGGAATCTCTCAAGTGATTTTCCCAAATCTGGGGTGGAACAGGACAGCAGTATTCTAAGTCCCCAGTGAACCTAATGTGCCCCAAGAGTGACAGCGTCTACTCTGGAATACTGCATTCGGCTGGAAGCTTGCTCCGGGGCAGCTCCAACCCTTTTAGGTCTGGAGGAAACATGCTGTCCCTGTCTCTACCTTTTAAATGTTATTTATTTGAATAATATTTATTTATAAGTATTTGGATGTTTTCTAATTGTCAGTGGGCATGTGCACTGATCAGAACCTAGAACCTCCTCGTGTGGACTCATCTGGCAGAGAGCTGCGTTTTACTACTGGGCCACCGTATGGCTGCCTCTAAGATTTTCGATCACAAATGAAGAAGTGTTGGCGCCAGCAGGTGGCATGGTAGTTAAGGTACTGGACTCACATGTGGCTGACTGTGGTTTGAGTCTTAAACTTGGTGGATTGAAAATTACGCTGGGATGGGACCAGCAGTTAGTGTAATGGCTATGTCTCTGGACTCCCAGGTAGTTGACAGCAGTTCAAATCCCTGACCTGGTGGCTTAAACTCATGCCGGGGGCGTGTGCGAGCATGCCCAAGATCCTGAGAGGAGAATGGAGGAGAAGGGATTGCGGCGTGGCTGGGGGGTGATTTCTTGCTTTCTGTCTCTTTGTCTCTCTCTGTCTTTCTGGTTGAGTGTACATATCCTATAATGATGAAACCTTTCCAAAAAAGAAAGAAAGAAAGAAAGAAAGAAAGAAAGAAAGAAAGAAAGAAAAGCCGCACCAGGCACATATGCGTATGTGCCCAAAATCCTGAGAGGAGAATAGAGAAGGGATTGCAGTGTAGCCATCTCCCTGGGGGATGATTTCTCACTATCTTTTTCTCTGTTTCCCTCTGGCAGAAACCAAAAAAAACAAAAAACAAAAAACAAAAAAAACATAAATTTCAAAATATTTTCTATGAACTCTTTCAAGTTCCCTTGAGGCACTGTACCAGTGTTGGGCCAGCAGGTGTGTAGTGATTAAGGTGGTTTGAGTCCCAGATCCAGTGTCTTGAAACTCATGCCAGGTACCTGTGCATGTGTGCCCAAAATCCCAAGAGGAGAATGGAGGAGGAGGGATTATTTCTCACTTTCTGTCTCTCCGTCTCTCTCCATCTCTCTGGTGAGCACATGTGCCCTATAGCAAAATCTCTTTTAAAAACCCACAAAGATACTGTACCAATGTTAATGTTCTGACTTTGATAGTCATGCTGTGGTTCTGCACCATGCTAACCTCAGGAGAAGTGGGTGAGGGGTACACATGACCTCTTTGGACTATTTTTGCAGCTTTTCTATATGTCTAAAATGATTGCAAAATAAAAAGCTTAAAAAATTCCAATGCTTTGGCCCAACCCCAAAGATTCTGACTTAATTTGTCTACAGTAGGGCCAGGTTTTACAAAATAATCTTCCAAATGTTTCTAATGTGCAGTGAAGACTGAGATTCACTGCTGTAGGTACTGAATTACTATCAAACTTATTTCATAAATTATTCTCATGATTCTTTTTTAAAAAGATACAGTAAGGGGATATGTCAAGCCATCCCATGCAATTTAGTTTCTAATTTGAATTCTTTTGATAAAGATAAAGGGTTGTGTTGAAACAGGCTATTATTACTAAGCAGTGAATGAAATGCTACCTATCTAAAATGTGAAATACTGGTACGTAGCCCTTTAAAAATCTGACCAACTTTGTGGTCAAAAAGAAATAAACAAGAGAAGTATCCTACTATTTTTTTCTCCTTTCTAGTCTGTGTAATCTATACACTAGTCCACAGTGAATTTGTTTTTAGTTTTTTGCAGTTTTGCTGTAGGGTACTTGTGACCACCAGAGAGAGACAAAGAGAGAGAGAGTGAGAAAACACCATTCAGGGGGATGGCCATGCCATAATCCCTCCTCCTCTATTCTCCTCTCAGGACCTTTGGGATGCACACACATGCACTTGACATGTTTT